CCAAGGTTTCGGGTTTGATCCCCAGTCAGGGCACATACAAGAAGCGACCAATGGATACATAAGTAGAACAGCAAATCGATGTTTATCTCTACCCCCCCCCCTTCTAAAATCAACCAATAAAAAGATGCTACCTTTAACCAAGGCTTAATCTGAAAACTCGAGTGTGCTTTTATGTGAGGACTGGAGCATTGTTAATGTTAACAAGCACATGATCTGTAAGCTTCAGCAGAATGACCATTAGCACCAATGCCATGTTTGTAACTAGTAGTTTATTGAACCTTCTCCCCACAGTTCCCACTCCCCACCTTCCCCCTCGCTGCTAACTCTGATCTTTTCTTTGTGGAGTGAACAAAAGCAAACATGACGAACAACTGGTCTGAGAACCTGGGCCCAATGCTGTGTGGTCTGGGAATGAAGCTGCTATGGGTTGCTGCCCAGTGAGTTGGGTAATAAACTGAACACTTTCTCTCTCTAGAACTGGAAGCGGAAAGTTAGACTTGTCCCAGCCATTCTCCGCTGGTAGTCTTCGTCAAACCTCTCGTTCTGAGCCACGGTGAAGTGATTCTTCCAGTCTCCGACCGTCCCTGAAAAGACGTGGAAGTCAGAGCTACTGGAGGACTGTGTGCCCTCTGTCCTGCTCTGTGTGCGGTGTCCACTCACCCTGCAGGAGGGCAGGGCTGGGCTCAGCGTTCTTCCTGCCAGCCCGTTCCTTTCCATCTGAAGGGAAGAGGACATCTGTCTGATTGTGAGGCCAGGAGAGCCTGCTGCCCCTGAGCCACATTACGGTGGGGGTGAAAGGGGGGGACACCACGTTAAAACCGCAGGCCTGGGGGCTCTCCTGTCTTTCCCCGTCCTCTTGCATGTCAGATAGCATAGAGCCATCTACACCATGGATGCTTTGCTCTATCGGACCTAAGTGTATTTCCACCTTATTACTGAGAACTCTGGAGGGGAGTGAGATAAGGTGGTGGGTTTCGGCACTAAACCGTACTCTCTAGTTGTGGCTACACATTGGTTTCATTTCGTCTGTGGTCTCTTAAATACTCCTTCCCCAGTATCATTTATTATGGACCTTGTCTTATCCATGGAAACCTCCCCACAGGCTCTGGGGTCCTCGACAGTTCTTTCAAGGTCGTGACGCGCAGAGAGAACCACCTTTCCTCATGAACGGAGACACCGAGCGGTCCATGACCTCCGCGGGGTCTGCCGAGTAGTTCGCCATGGGATTTTGCTTCATAACATCAAACGAAGTGTGATGGACAATTTTACCCAGGACGCTGTCATCCAGCTTTTTCCCAATAAATTCTCCCAGCTTCCAGATTTCATGCTTTGGGTTCTGTGATCAGAGTGAAAAGAAAAGTGAAGATTTGATATAAAACAGTTTAAAAAATATTGCATTGAATTAATAATGGTGATAAGTAACATAAAATCAAAAAACAATCCTGCCTCCCAAATGCTGAACTTTCCAGAAATGACTCATTTTAATACTGTGACACAGGTTTTTAAAAATTAACCATAGCCCTAATGGGTTTGGTTCAGTGGATAAAGCATCGGCCTGGGGACTGAAGGGTCCCAGGTTCGATTCTGGTCAAGGGCATGTACCTTGGTTGCAGGCACATCCCCAGTGGGGAGTGTGCAGGAGGCAGATGTTTCTCTCTCACCGATGTTTCTAACTCTCTATCCCTCTCCCTTCCTCTCTGTAAAAAATCAATAAAATATATTTAAAAAAATT